TGGAGGCTGCCTATACGGACCAACCCTAGTTGCGAGGTAAACAACTATAATAATACAACATCCCAGCAGAAAAACGGAGATACTCAATAAAACATTCTCCTACGAATCGAACTCGGGTCTCTTGCGTGCGACAGCAACCGCTACATCATAAACACCGCTTTACCATAAAGGATGAACCCACCTCATACCCCGTAACCATTCAAGTGTGATCTCTCCCAAGAGCTGAAGATCTTCAGCATACGCTTTGATTATCCGTAAGAGGATTTTTTTCGGGGGGCAGGGGGGGGGGAGGGGGTTAATGTATGTGTTTTAACACTCTTACCGAAACAATTTAGATCATTTGGGAGGCGGGCTTCCGACCCTGTCTGTCAGGGCCAACCCTAGCCTATACGACAACCCAGCAGAAAAACCGAGATACTCGATAAAAATTCTTCACATTCTGAAGTCGAACACGGGTTTCTTGCGTGCGACAACAAAGCGAAGTGCATAGCTGCAACGCCACGGACGCCGGTCATAAAGATGGATGACCCCTTTGACGTGCTGGCTTTCATTGAAGTTCCATGTCCTCTCCAGTATTGTCAATTACCACACACGTGGTTTTCTGTGTTATTAGTCTGTTTCACACGTAGTATGTGACTGCAGTGTTCGGTAGCCCCTTCTACTCCTATGAACAGCTGTTTTCGAACATGAAGTTTTGTAAGCTGCGCTCTCGGCTCACTGATGATCAGCCCAATGCCATTTTTTTTTCTTTTTGCCCCTGAAAGCTTCGTCTTCTGAACCTGATCTTGTGTCTGACGCCAAGAGCTTGCGACATCAGATACCTACCCCGTAATCTGCGCATTGAAGAGACGCAGGCTAGTCATTCGGCAACGCTTGAAGACGCCCGAGTATTTGTTTTTGTTTTTTTGGAAAAGGGGGGTGGGGGTGGGAGGGGGGTATTCTCGGATGTGGCCTAGATCTAGTTGGCCGAAGAGGTTGCCGACATTTGAGTAGGTTTAATTTTATACAGTAGTCTTCCGTAGTCTTAGCAAAAAACTAGTTGTTGGTCTTTATATAGATCAACTATAACTATAATAAACGACAGCTTCTCAAATTCTGAAATAACCGGAATTCAGTGTTTGTTTTGTTTTGTTATCTTCTCCTCCCACTGTCTTGCCTGAACACTGCTGATTGATCGATTGTTTGATTGATTTATTGAGTTGCACGAGAGAGGTCGGTGCATGCTATTGATTTTATCTCAGGACCCCCC